TGTGTGTGTGTGTGTGTGTGTGTGTGTGTGTGTGTGTGTGTGTGTGTAGATCATAGGATAACCTTTGGGAGTCAGTTCTTTCTTTCCACCATATGGGTTCTGAGATCCAAATTCCAGTTTTAAGGATTGGTAGTAAGTGTCTTAATGGAGCATTTTGTTGACCTTACATAATTCTTCCAAAATACAAGTATGTTTGTGGCATTACCACATATGACATTAAATCTGCACATAACTGATTCCATTTGAGACACTGTCCCTATCTCACTAGACTCTTAAGTCACAGCTCTCCCCCAGCTCACTGGGCCATTACAAATACTCTGGGGGTCAACTGAGCCAAAGAAATAAACCTACCATCAAACAGCTAGCTATGTCTCCTATCTGAAACATTGTTTCCCAAATAGCTACCTGGGATTGTCTTTCATGTGACTCAAGTGTCTTCTGAATTGCTATCTCATCAGTGGCCTTTGATAATGACCCAATCTGAAAATATCACCTCAGCCCTATTTCCAGCATACCCAAGCCCTTATGCTGGCTTGGTGTCTCTAGCTTCCTTACAGTAGCTGTTGGCATCACCTCAGCCTGCCTCCCTCTGGTTACTTCACTGGAGGCTCTCTCCTCTCCCCAGCACTCCCCAGGACCTAGCGCTGCTGGCAGACAGTAGGTTGCTCACTGACTTCAAGCTGAATGAATGGACAGGTTTAAAATAAACACCTTGTGTTTAAATGCACCAGGCTCCGCCACAGGCATCGGGATAAGATCTATAAAACTTTAAAGAGACACACATAGAATGGACAGCGATATGAGCTACAGTGTACAGAGAACTGGACTAGTAGCAGGTAAAAAGGTCAGACTTCAACTCTACTGTGAAGAGCCCTGAGCTTCACAGACAAGAAGTTATTTCTTTTTCTGTTTCCACAGTGTACGTCCCTAATCAGAAACAAAAAGAAGAGACATTCCTAAACACAGAATTGACTGAATTAGAATTGACTGAACTCAGACAACTTAGACTGAACTTAGACAACACCAACTGACTGTTGTTGCTTCTAGAGACAGGGTGGGTGGGAGTGGGATGGTGGGGAACAAGTTAGAAAACTTAGTCCCAAATCTGATTTCGGTCAAGGAGAGTCTGAGGCACCTAAATCACCACACTCAGTCTTACGCTCACCCTGTAAGAAACCCTGACTTGTAAGCTACAGTGCTGTCTTCTCCTTGTAGGGTTTGCAATGTCCTGACAGGGTGGGGCCACAGAAAACATGCAGGCGTGCCACCATTAGCTGAGAGCCATACACTGAGACCTAAGTCTCGGCTCCATCAGTCTCCAAGCTCAGAATGCTCTTTATGGTTCTTTCTTAAAACAGGGGTACCTGGTTTGCAGTGAAGTCTGACACAAAGGCAGAGATTTCCCGGGAATTTTTCCTAGTCAGTGGCTTGAAAGTCCAATTCTAAATGGGAGACAACATTATTTACAATTTTAAAAACCAAAAGAAGTTCAGAAGTTATTTTCACAGAAAAGGACAACTGTATACAACATAAGACAGAGCTGAATGTCACAAATTCGGAACCCAGGTGTTCAGAACTCTGAACGTCTGGCTATAAAGGGCCTGTTGGTAGTGGATGTTGGCCCAAATCCCAGCGATTTTACTTCTTAATTAGTACATTATCCTTTTTGGCTTTATCTTTTCTTTAAAGATAGAAAGTACAAAGGAGAGAGGGTAGGCTGGCTTTTTAAGGACTCTGGGGTTCTTAAAGTCAGAATAATTTAGGGAAAATTTGGGCTTTGTTGGGACCTTAATACCAGCCAAGCAACTTTGATTCTGAATAGCTGAGTAAAATGGTTATTGGTAAACCATCCAGCTGGTGGATGCTACAGAGATGGGCCAAACTCACAAGAGTCAAACACAGAAGCAAGGAAAGTCAAGGAGAACATCCCATAACCAGGAAGGTCCATGTCTTCAAAACAGTGGATAAATGTTACAAAGCAAGAGCCAATGAACTAGAAACAAGGGTGGGTGCTAGGGGGCAGTGTACCTATGGAACAGTACAAAAGACTTAGCCTTCCTGATGAGAGCCAGGATGCCAGTCGTCAGCATACACCTGTTGCTCTATCAGTTTGTCGCCTCCCACCTAATCCAGGTCTGGGGTGCCACATACATTGGGAGAGGTCCCAGACAGGAGGGGGGTGCTGGGGACAACAGTCTATTTTCAAAGGTGAAAGCCAGACTGAGGACCTTAAAGAAGCTTTACCTGGATGCATTCAAGTTCAAATTACCTGACTAATCAAATTCCACGACAGTAGCTTGCCCAGCAATGCCAGGGCCAATTAAAAAAGAGTTTGCTAAGACAACAGAAACCGACGAAGAAGCTGTTGTTTTGTCTGTGAGAGGAATAAGGCTCCTGAGATGAAAAGGTTCAGCTAAGTTACCTAGTAGGCATATAAAGCCATAGCTCGGGCTAGAACCCAGGTGGCCTAACCCAGCACTATTCCAACTGGTTTACTGCTATCGAATTTATTTATTTAAATAAATACATTAGTACAGTCGTGGCAGTAAGTGCCAGAATGCCAAATTAGAAAGTTTAAGGAAAAACAGATTTTATGAAAATGCCCTACTAGAAAAATGAAACATTTAAAAGAAATTAGTCTTGTGATTAAGACGTTTCCTTAGAACAAGGTTGAAATCATAAAAATCTCAATTCTGTGATAGAATCATCTGGGGTAGTAAATTTATCTGTGTGTACAAATTTTGATGAAAAACCAGAAAGTGAACTTATAAAATCAAAGCAAATTTTAAGAAAGGAAAAGAAAAAACAAAACAAAACCAAAAAAACCCTAGGTAGTTTAATTTGAGCTCCCCTCCCCTCTCCGAAGGAAAAGCGTGGGAAATGTTTCCAATGGGCTTTTACAGGGAAAGGAAATGTCCCTAAGGGAAATACAGGACTAGTCAGTCAACAGCATGTATTCAAGAATTCCAAACATCTTTATTCCTGAAGCCAATTCCTCTCAAAACCAAAGCAACAACTTTTTTTCCCCCAGCAACTCAAAGTCAGCGTAGCTCATCAATTTTATTTCAAATTCTACTAAAATTATCAAATTGTCAAACTGGTCCCACATAAACCCTTGGCTACGTCAATGGCTTGTGAAGAGTGAAGACGGTCTCCCTGGTAGAGTTGGCACGTGCCTTCCCTTTCTCCTTGCAGGTATGACTTCATCAACTAAGAGTTTATCCAACACCAGGAAAGCACTCAAAAAACTCAACCGAAACTCTCCACCTGCATTTTGTTTCTAGATATGGCTTCTTTACCACCCAGCCATACTTTGGCTCAGGCAAGCAGTCTACCATCATCACTAGCATCCCCAGAGAGAGTGGCAATTCCAGGTCTGTAGGGAAACAGCCCAGGTTTGGCCTCAGTCCCAGGTATGGCCCTGCTCGCTATGTGGACTTGGTGACATTGCCCTAGGGGCAATGGCAGGAAGCTTGTGCTGTGGCCAGAGCACAGTGGTACCTCCTACTGATGCTCCCAAGTTCAGTGAGTAGGAAGAAATAGTAATTCCCAATCTCCAACTGCATATGGGGAAGCCACAAAGATGTTCCACTAGAAAGAAAATCAGACACCAAGCACAGGACAATTAATTAAAACAAGGGAAGATGTTTATCTAAGTGAAAGCTCCCTTTAAGAGGTCCCTGTTGTGTTTAGAGAGCTTAGGACAAGAAAAGTCACATTGGATCCAGCTAAAACTAAATACAGGTACTTACTGAGAAACTCAAGGATAGCCCCTTAGTGTTTTAAGTGCCACACAGTCTTTAAGGTGGAATCATACAGATTCTGTAACATTCTGCCTGCTTAAATTAAATGAGATATCAGTTTTTTTCCCCACCAAAGCCATTGGAGAATAGCTGTCTGAACTCTACATGTCAAAAACTATGAATACTTACTGATAAAGTTCTGGGTCTGATGGGGGTTGAGGGTGGGGTAGGAGATATCCCACTATTTACAGCACATAAGCCAACTGCCAACAATTCACCAGCCAAGTAAACACCTAAACAGCAACCAAGATTAAGCAGAGTTGTGACCCCCCCACCCCAGTCTACCGTTGTTCAACAGCCTGCACTCTCTGAAGATGCCTGAGTATTTCTTTCCTACTACCTGAAAACACAGATTGTCACTACTTAGTCTTAATTCTGGGGGAATCTTGTATCAAACAGGCAGCAAGCACATGCATTCTCAAGCTGTAGGAGCTTCAGTTAGTCCTGTGGGGTGAGAGGTTTCAACATGGAAAGGAATGGAAATCACTAAGCTTTGCTTTCAACACTTGGTGCATTTCATTTCCAAGGAACGACTAGATACCCAATGGCACACTCATCACCGATGGTTCTTACAACGACGCTTACTCTACTTACTTGTATTTTAAGAGCAGCCACTGAATTAACCAGAGTCCTACAAGGATCATGCCGTTAATTTCGCAAATAGAAAAGGCCCACTGCACCCGGTTAAAATGGTCAAAAAATGTGTCCGGCAGTGGAGGCTGCACCTCCTTAGGAGGCACTCGTTCATGGACGACTGAGATCATCACTGTAGTGAGAACAAAACAGGAAAGTGCATAAAGAAAGGCCAGAAAAGTCTTGCCCCACTCCATGGGGTACTGGGAGCGCTCCAGTTCTGGCATGGGGATCTTTATCATTTCTTTCCTATACCCATTTGGCATTCCGTTGGGTTTAATCTTGATGCTGAAGCTGCCATCGGGGTTGGGAATGTCAACGCCAACGCTGAGGTGCCCATTGGCGTGGCCATTCTTGTGTGCTTCCATATGGTGCTCCATCTTTAGGGTCTCTATCATGTCTAAGAGCCGCTGACCATTGTCAGACGAGACTCGGCACAGTGGGGGTTTTCTGAAATCCTCTGGGGTTAGGTTGATCAAGTCCTGGCCTGTGAAATGCTCTAGAGGTTCACAGTATTCTGGCATAGCATTCTCCAGCAGCCAGTCTGCCACCTTCTTGGGTGACCAATAAACCACTTCCTTCATGGTACTGGCAGACAACATTCAGTACCCCCAGCTTGCTCTCAGACGTCAGCAGTCACTGTTCATACAGGGCAGGACACTATCCCTCCTTGGCTGGTTCATCTTGTTGGGTCTCATGAGCAGAGACTCATTTGGCAAGATGGTCAGGGCAGTTTTAAAACACTTTGTGCAACGGTGTCCAAACATTAACTTGACTCATTTCTGAACAGGGTTCTTCCTTCTGTGGGAGCAAAAGAAAAGGTCAGGACCATGGGATTTCCAGATCAGTTCCTTCAAAATACAAAGAGGCTTAATGTGCATAATGAAAGAAGGGCAGCCATTGGGGAACTCTCTTTCAAATGTGCTAGTCTCAGACACTGCTCATTCCCCGGTTACCAGCCTTTGGTGACAGAGCATTAAACTTGACCTGGAAATATGTGAGGGCAGAGGCAGCAGTGGACGGGTCTCCTAAGGAGAATAACTGAATAACTCAGCAGACTCTGGACACTGCTCAGCAGAGACCACTGAGTTTCTCTGTACCTAACACACTTCCATGACATAATGTGAGACAATCTGGCAAACCGGTTTAATCTATTAATCTCTCTGGTGAGGAATGTTGGAAATGTGCACAATACATGACAACGTAGGTGTCACAGAAGAAAATCACAGAAATGCTGAACATAAGACCATCTGGGCCCAAAAGTCACTTTTTCCAAACATACATGAAGCCTTATATGGGCGTAAGTTCCACTGCAGCTGGCTGGGTTGACATACAGGCAGAGGCCAAGGCTTTGTTGACCTTTCTATCCTCAGTCCCTCCATACCTCTGTAGATCCCCATAACTTGAAAAAAAAAAAAAAAGAGAGAGAGAGAGAGAATTGATCCACCTCTCATTTATAAAAGAGGCTGAGTTCTATAAAAGTCAAATGACTTGCCCATAGTCGAATGTGTAGGGGGGATATAAGTCTAGGTTATGTATTCATTAAAATACTTAACCAGTGGTGTAAAAACAATCAAAGGCCTATGCTTTAGGGAACACTCAAAAGCAGGATCCACCTATGCAGACATACAAAACAGACACAACCTCAATCCTTGACTAATTAATACACAGTACTGCAAAAAGCAAGCGGGAAGACACAGCAGCTAAGTTATACTTGATGATTCTGAGTGCATTCCCATTCTTCTGCCACTGACTTCCTTAGTAAGCACCTACTACTTTTATAACAGTCCCTAAAAAATTAAGAAAAGCTTAAAGCAGAAGACCCCCCAAAAAATCAGAACAACATAGCTATGAAATACGGCTTTGGTCCCAGCACCTCCCCTACTTGCCCATTGTTTGGGCTTCGGCTTGTTAATCTTTAAAATGGGTGTAGAAACAATAAACCATTTTCTTTATAGGGTTGTTGGCAATGACTGAGTCTATATATGAAAGTAGACAAAACAGCTGAGCTCTGTAAGTAGTGATTTTTCAGAGGATTTTGTTGGTCCTTTCTTATCCCTTTTCAAATTATTAATCGTATTCATCAGCCTCTGTTGACTTTCTCTCTACCAGTTGGATTTTCTCTGATGCGATTATTGTTGTGTTAACCACAGAAACCTTTCCACAGACCTAAAAGTTTGCAAGCTGGAAATTACTAGTGAGATCGTTTTCCTGAGAATGTTTTCATGGGAGAGTATCTGGGAAAGTGTCTTGTGCTTCAGCGAAGTACACTCAGCGCGTACTGTCATCTTCCAATTGTACACGTTAGGATGTTAAATACCGGACACATTCCCGAGTAGAGAGAATGCTCGCAGAGACATCTTGCATTGACTATCTTAAGCTGTCCTCCTCCCCCACTCCCCTTTCTCTCTAACTAGTCTCTCTCACATTTATCCCCAAATTTGATTCTAGAGTGAGGAAAGACAGCATTTATTCTCCCAGTTTCCCATTTCCAACAGCCCCAGTGGCAGTCCTGGGCACTATATAACCTCCCTGCCATGCTCTCTTGAGGACACTTGCAGACTCCCAGAAGTAGCTGCGAGCCTTACAAAGGCAGCCATTTGAAGCAGCTACAGCCTTCATGTCCCAGGGCTCAAAATCCACTCAAACAATAACTGGCCAATATTATTACAAATATCCCTAGCATTGTACAGACTATTTAATGGGAAATAAATCCAATAATCTCACTAATATTGAAAACTCTTTTAAACTACCTTAATAGTCAAGACAGTCAATGTGACTTTCTGCACACTGCTAGCCACTGCTGAGAAACCCCAAATACGGTAAGGATGGCCCACAGTGCTGAAGGCATGCCTATCAAACTTGAGTCTTTGCACAGGTTGTGCAGTACATGAGGTCTGTCTCCTAGGCATGAGACCCAAGGCCTCTCCACAAGCACTCCTCAAGAAATCTAGGGCAAGTGCCAGTGAAACCCTCAACGTCTGGTAGAGAATACTAAAGAAAAAAAAAATCTTGATTTCATGTTCAAGCCCAAGGGAAAGGGACACTGGCTTTCCCCGAGTTCTTCATCCTCCCCATTCCATGACCAGTACAGGAAGTGTGCCACTATCTGAAACTGTCAGGACCACATACTACACTTAGGCCAGACTTTTACCACTTCTCCAAGATGGAGAAGTAGACAAACCAACTCTTACTATGAGATGACAAACTTCAAAACAGGTAGGAATCAAATAGTAGGAGACAATTTAATGTACCGCAGTGGTTCTCAACCTTCCTGATGCTGCGACCCCTTAATACAGTTCTTCCTGTCGTGGGGACCCCAAGCATAAAATTATTTTCATTGCTACTTCAGAACTGTAATTTTGCTACTTTTACAAATCGTAATGTAAATATCTCACGTGCAGATGGCCTTAGGCAACCCCTGTGAAAACACTGGTCATTTCCCAAAGGGGTCGCTAGCCACAAGTTGAAAACCAATGATATAGAACAAAACATCTCTCTGGCAAGGCAAGCACTTCAAGCATTGGCTAAATAGAGGAACAACAATCTTGCAAGGTCCAGTCCATCAAGCCATTTCTGACAGCAAGAGGAACTCTCCAACACAGGCTACAAGGCAGGCCAACACTTCCCATTCTGTAGCCACTGAGGACCACAAAAGCATTCTCTCCTGAACACAGACCCTGTACCCCAGCCTGGAATCCCATCTTCTCTTTGACAATTAGTACAAGTGTTCCCTAGGTCTTCTATGTCCACAGTTTTCCCCCATCCTCTGAATTCCTTCCTCACTAGCTTCTGTGACACACAACAGAATCTAACCATCCAGTGTGTTTGTGTATGGGAGCACTTAGATCACATCCGGTGGGGTAAGCATGTCAGACAGCCAACACCGGTGCCTTATTGAAATCCTTTACCTGTTCCTAAGCTATTTCATCTAAAAAACAAGCCGAATAACTACCCCACCCACCTCCACACAGGCTACAAAATCCAGTCAGGTTAAGGGAATAAAAGCCACAAGTTCCTCCATTAAGCATCATATTCTTTAAATCATGTCCTACCTTCTTTTCCAATGCCCAGCTGGGCCCACAGTTACCCCTCATAAATGCTTATGGAAGCTCTCATTTCTAGGGAACATTTCTAATGTCCCATCTCTCTAACACAGAAGCTTGGAAACAAGTACACTTGTGCTGTTTTCCTGCAACGGAAGCTGGAGCTAGGCACCGGGAGAAGTGACTTCTGTGGCAGTGGCCTGCTGGAAAGTGGTTTAGCTTTCCAGTGGCCACTGCTGCCAACCTTGTTTCGAGACTCCGGGGCCTGGCTGTAGATGCGAAAGTGAGAAGCTCATTTTCCCCCTGGCTTCACTCACTCAGCAGAGATATAGTGAAGCATTTCCAGATTGAGACAGGCAAAATGTCTTCACAGCTTGACCTAGAAGACAGGTCATCTTGAGTAACAACTACCTTCATCCAGAAAAGCTAAGCTAACTCACAGCCGAGCTTATTGGACTTACTGCACAATGTGGGGAAGAAATAACAAGAACGAGATTGAAGTCAGCACTTCCTCCTGAAATATTCCATAATTTGACAGATAGTAGAGGGATGGGATCTCTTATTCATCCTTAAGGTTAAAGTCTAGTCAGATTTTGATTTGTTTAAAATTTTATACATAGGGAAGATGTGGCTTTACAGCTCCAGGGCTTTGGGGGACATTCCTGCTGCCAGACAGCCAACAGCCTCAAAGACTTGTGTGGGAAGAGTGGCATCTCGGTGCTCTATTAGTTAAAGGCAGACCGGCACATGCTCACTATAGGATGGGAGCCTAGCAGGACCTTCTATTTGGTCACAACCAAGTGAAAAATAGTTACACAAAAATTCAACTGGGTTCAGGTTCTTAAAATAGATACTTCAGTCTTTAACATTATAAAAGCCTTTCAATGATATGCCACAGCACCATATAATGAATTTATAGTTAATTATGAAAGAAGCTACTACATGGCCTTGTTACCTGGAAGAGTGTCTAGGAATAAAACAGCGTTAATGTTAACAAAAGAATGTTTACCACCAGAATTCTGATGGTGCCACCAGAATTAAGTGGGAATCAGGGCTTTAAAAATTAAAGCATTATGATAGCAACCCCCGTACTCGGGAGTTTGAGACAGGAGGATGGTGAGCCTGGAACCAGCCTGGGCTAGAGAGCAAGACCTGTCTCAAAGACCTGTTACAACAGTACACCACCTCCCCAAAAGACTAGAATTAGGAATTGATTAAAAACAAACTATAAATCAATAATTCATATCACTTTACTATGAAACAAACTGACATTTTACAAAAGCTTAAGGTTTAGATAAGGGTTTCCAAACCTACTAGAACTTTCCAAAATTTTCAACAATAACCTAATTGACCTCTTCAGTGAATGAAATGTTTAATTCTCCATTAACTCCATTTGGCTATCTGCTGAATGCTTTTTTCCAGAGCAACTTTAATAGGTTGTATGCCTTCTTATTTAGTACTTGAAAAGTTAATTTAAGTAAGGAGAATTTATAAAATTATAAAATTTATAAAATTATATACGAAAGGTAGATTAGAGTAGGCTGAAAGAAAAAAAATATTTATTTCTACAGTTTGGGGAGCCTAAAAGATTCCTTTTGACGCTGTAATCTTTACCTTGGCCTTTATTTTCAATTGCTATTACATGCAATGCTCACAATTCCACAGTCCAGCTTTGGTTCACAGATAAAACCATCCCTGATGAAAGCAGCTCCTTCAGCTAAGTGTATGCTGACCTACTCTGCAGAGCTTTG